GGGCGTGGTCTACAGGATCTCCTGTCTATCTTGCGGAGATGAATACATCGGTGAAACGGCTAGACCACTCCATGTGCGGATCAAGGAGCATCTGGATGGAAAGTCTAGACTGCGTGTATCAACCCCATTAGGATGCCACAGGGTACAAGATCACAACGGAGACGATTTTGGAGTCACTGTAGAGATTTTAGAGCGCGAAGACCAACTTTCCGCGCGAAAAACTCTCGAAGCATTCTGGTCAGGTCAGGAATCCAAGAATGAACCGAAGGGGAGAATGCTTATCAATCACGCGAGAGCTATCTCCCTATATAAGATTAGCATTTAACGGCTCTGGATAGTCTCAGTTCGAAAACTTCTATCACCGAGGCTCGTCGTTTGATCCGGTGAATTCGGTTGAGGTATGTTGGTTGTTTCACTCGAATTACATGCTGGACTTAGAGGGGGGTCGAAAGGGTAGGGCGTGCTTTGATGGTGGGTCGGAGATCATTAATTCAGCCTGACCCTTTCAGGCTCCGAAGAAGGCGAGAACGCCGAAACGTCAGCCGATAAACATTCATAACAACCTCGTCTGAGCAGTTCAAAGAAAAACTTTATAATGCATTCTTCTTGCATTCAGAGCTTGGACTGCGAAATATTACTCCTTTAAGACACATGCTCGCTGGTTACAGTTGGTAGGGTAATGTACAGTTTGACGCTTTTTGCCCTTACTGGCAAAACTGGCAACAACAACCGGGACCCTGGAGAGCTCGTCCCTTGACATAGACTAGAGGCAGATTTGATCTCGAAGAGTGGAGAATTTTCGGAGAGAAGCAGATAGGATGGGGAAACAGATCCACCACAGGAGGAACTTTTGAGGGGGAAGGTGGGTTCTATTCTGCGAAATTTAACTTTCACGGAAGGAACTGCCTTGTTTGCGCCGTCCCGGGCTATGGGATCTTACTTAAGGGCCAAGCGGCTGTAAACAGCTTCACTCGTGGTCAGATAGGTTATCGATCGGAAAACAGACCCAGTTATAAATTTTGTAATAGTCCGGTCGATCTTGATAGGCTAGCGTCCGTAGGTACTTGGCAACGAGCACGAACTCTTCTGGGCAATCCTGAAAGGAGTGGGTAAATCTCCCATCAGTGTCAACATGAATACGCGACCACTCCCAGCTCGTGATACAGTATCGCGATGAGCGAACGCAGACAAGCAGACGCAACTTGGCATGGCCTAGGTTCCCGTCCCTTTACTACCTTTGGGCCATTTCGATCGTTTCGTTCACAGTAGCTTCCAGGATAATGGTGATTTTAGCATCCTGAAACAACTCACCCTGAACACGCTCTCATCTGTTTCGGTTTCTTTCAATTTAACGATATCCTTTCTCAACTGTTATACGATTCCATGGCAGACCGACATACAGCTCGCCAAGCATGTAGATCATTGCCCAGAGATCATCAACACGGCCCTGAAAAACGCCTTCTGAGCGAAGGCTGCTTTTCCCCTCCGAAAAGCTAATTTTCGAGTATGCGAAAGATAGATATTGATTGAACGCGCGTAAAATCAATATCCTGAGCAAACGTGCTAGTGGCGGTGACAGAGTTGGGAAGACTAGTAGGAGGAATATTGGCCTTTCTGTAGCTTACTCGCAAAAGCGAGAGAGTGATATGAGTTCAATACGGCCTACTATACCCAAAGTAGCGTAATGTTCACCCCAAGAGGAGGGATAGGTCATACCTTCCACTACTAGCCCTTCAATATTTGATGAACTGACCATTGTACTTGGCAGTTGCTGGTGGAGTCCAAACCTAAGCCGCCTGACAAGGTAGTACGGTCACACTTGTCAGTTCTTACAAATGATATCGCAGCTGTGACTGGGGCGGTGCCAGTCGGCATAGCGTGAGCCCTTCCGCGGCGTTCTCATAAATGGTTGTTTTCTTCCCGAATCGCTCGCTAGTGGTATTTCTACAGCCGAAGCCGGCTCGCTCTGCCCCTCCGCACCAGGTAAATGCAACGATATCCACTATACCTGCTCGAGACGTCTGTGAACACTGAGCGAGCAGTAACGTAGAGTTCCTCGCAGTAAGACGTTCTTCCGTGGTTTTCGCATTGAAATACCTTTGCCATCGCGTACTACAAAGTTTCTTACCATACCTGAATCAAGCAGTTTGGACAGCATTTTCAAGAATTCATCGGGAGAGCAAAAACATTTGAATATTTTTTGTCATACTAAGGCCCACTGGTTGAACAATAGGCGGCGCTGGGGATCTAGGGAAAGACCGCTTTCCCTCAGGGTGTAGCTATATTTTCTTAGGTGGCAAAGCCACCTTAGCTGTTCAGGATGCAGTGAGAGAACTATTACATGTTTGAAGTTGACTAGCAATGTCTTAACGTGTCGCGCTCACTCTTTGAGAGGCCCCAGACGAGCAAACATGACGTGGCTCATCCCTCAACCCATGAGACTGTCCTACCCCTTCCCAAATGCACATAGGGCACTATTCTGCTCTTGCCACTTGAAAATACGTGGCAAAAAAAGCTAGAGGTTTGTGATAGCTTTATGTTCCTAACTACTTGGCCTAGCAACGGCATATTCGCTGCTCGTTTGCACCTCCTCACCGATACAATGACCGAAAGGTTGGTTGAGATCAGTTAGTATTTACGAACTATCCTAGAACTGATGACCAGTATTTACCGTAGTCTATGAGAAAAATGATGCGCCGATCTCGCCCGCTGGCTCCATTCATCATATTGCCAGGTTTCACATCGCGATGGACAAAACCGATTTCGTGCAACTGAAACGATAGCCTACTTTCGGTTCGTCAGTATTTTTATCAGACACTCCTTTCGACGCAGTTCGGCCTGGAGGGGGCATTGCGCACTTTCGCTAATCCTCTCGTTATTTCATATTAACTGAGAGGTCAACATCCGTAAACTTTCGGAAAGCTGTGGAATGGTACACGTGAGCCACCGCTTGCAAGAATTTGCAGCTCTCCAATAGGTGACCAGCTTTGCTGTGTACACGTCCTGCGCTCACCAATCCGAACTGTGCCCTCATTTCTATACGTTATGAATAAATTGAAATGGGACTAAATCCTGAACCATGTCTAATCAGCGCCTATTCACAAGCATAGTCTCACGGCACAAGGGCCAAAAGCGCGTACACTAGAGCCCCTTCCCAATGTCTAACTCACGCAGAGTGCCCAGTGGTGAGTGACGCGATTCGCTGTAATGCAGTCCCCACTTCAGCCAGCACTAACAGCGGAAGACCTCTGTGTCCCCGATATGGAGCTTCGCATTTGCTTTTGGGACTTACTGTTTCGTGGGAATGGGCTCCGTTGGATCAGTCAGGAGCCTTGTTGTTGACAGCTTGCCAACAGTCTAACTTTATTGCTGCTGTAAGTAGCGCTACAATCGGTATTGAGCTACGGGCTCACTATAGAAAGAGCGAGGATAGGATCAAATCGCAACGACCGAAGTGATGACGGCTTCAGGAGTGCGTTCCATACTTCGCACTCCAACGTACCTTGTGACGTGCACTACAAGCTTTTCGAGCTATCCTATGGAACCAAGTCATCAAAGTATGGGATTGTGTTCCAACTTCTACGCGGTTCAGCACAAGTGGCGCAGGCTCGTGGACAGGACTCAAGAGTTCATGGAAAGCCCGTCCCTCGCCCCTATCCCTGATCCTACATCCGCCCAACTCCAACCTAGCTTGTCGTACCTGTTTGATATCATTAAGGCGGCGTAGCATGCCCTATCCAGTATCGTGCTCTTCCTCCAAAGACCGTCAGGGTTCTTTCTTCTTCAAACGACAAATCCAGATCCGAAACACAAATTAATCGTTATCATATGAGCTAAAACTCAACTGTTTCACATTTCTGCTTTGGGTTTCTTTGGCTCCAGAGGCGAGGGGCGAGTCGCTTAAACCCTTCAACCCTTCAATGCCTGTGGAAGGCAGGCTGGTTCGCTGTCACCTCTTCTACTACATATTTCTAGGATCGATACCTATCCTTTCTACACTCGCTCCTTCTCTCTCTCAATCGCTATCCGTTCCTCCCGCTCCTACAAGCCCAAGCGGTGTTAGCTCATGCTATCCATATCACTTACTTATCACGCTTATCACGATCATACGAAGAAGACCTCATGCGCGTCATCTTATTCACCCCCCCTTCTTAAGCGGTCTAGCCAGAGCAAGAGGGTTCTACTCGGCCTTACACGGGACTCTCGCAGCTTCCTATCGAACCAGCACAAAAGCCACAGCTGTCCAGTACCTGTACTTGGTCCGTTTCCCAGACTGCAGCAATCGTATGACGTTCTTCCGATCGGCTAGCTTTTTCAGGACGGCTGCTTCCAGCTTCAATACGCCACTGTCATCTTCGATGATTGCTTCTGCCTGAAAATACTAGTCACTGCACGGTTCCGGTCCCGAGACAATACGACTCTTGACTTGCTCAAACCAACCTTCAAAGCAGCAATGTAACCCTTCCGCTTCAGATCTTCGACTTTGTAAACACTACCGCAACCGCCTGCACCAAGCCTGGACAGCACTTTCCATCGACCACAGACTATCTGCAACAATCTGCCCTGTAATGATAGCACCAAAATCCGGTGTGTCCTGCTCGAGCTCACCTTTCCGTTATTGAACTTGACCGCCTCGTTCGCCGCCATGAACTAGTACCACAAGTAGTTCAGCTGACCACGACCGAGTCGTGGACACTGCTGTATGAGAGTACGAATAGAAATGAACCTCACCGCCGGCTTCGATGGCTTTATATTAATATCATTGTTGTTTTTGGATTCACTGATACAAATTCATTTTAGAAAAGATGCACGAAGCCACTCATATATAAACAGAGGCAGTGCAATGTCTACTCGAATCTCCGGTATAAGCTGTTGCCTCTTCCGAAAAGACTACAGTTTGAAGAAAACGGACGGATACATTCCCAAGAAGGAGCAGAAAGAAGGAATGGGGCAGGAAAAGAGAGCGACGCTACTCCCGCTCTGCACCTGTAGTCAGGTGCTGCCCTGGTGAATGATGCTGAGTGGTACTGTGCACATTCGGGGTACCACTCAGTCTAGGCCAGTCAATTTACACGCAGCGATGGGATGTTATTTACTGAACTTGTTTAGCCCCGTGAGGTTGGCATGTTTAGCAATGCACTCTCCAATTCTTTCGGAAGAGGGGGGTCGTACAGGGAAGGACTCGACTGCATGTATCTGCCTGCCCCATACAAGATAAAACTGGCCTTCAGACCGTTGGTGAACCTGGTTAGCGTAAGCGCTTTTCCGCTGAAACTGGGAGGAATGCAGGGCAGTTGGGGGTACTCAGAGGAGCCTCTCCCAAACTCCGTTATGTTACTGGCCATTAACCACCCCTCGCTTGAGAAACACGCGTCCGCGATAACAAGCGGTGATTTTGCAAAAATGTGGACGAAAATTCGCTGAGTGAACCGTCTATGGAAGAAAATGCCAAAGGAAGCTAATTGTGTGTAATTCTTTTGTGCCTACGAGGTTGTTAGGTGGAACTGTTTATTGACGGCCTAACGTTTCGACCAGATCGTCGTCCTCGGAGGCCTGAACATCGCCCAAGATTCTTTAATTTGTTTTCTAAACCGTCAAACGCCTCGTCCTCCTAGCGTTTCTGACGAAGCTTCAAGGAACAACCGAAAAATCTCCCGTATGTATAACTAACTCACCAAGTCCACCGCGGCAAGAGCGGAAGAAGCCGCCCAGTCAATGGTTAGTAGTATTTGTGAGACTCACTGTGCTGTCCTTACATATAGTAATCATATTCAAGACTCGCACGTCTCACTGCTCACAGTAGCTGGCAGTGCGGTGAAAATGGCATGAGATCATTTGTTATGGATAAGCACTCATTTCGGTTGTTCATTCTAGGATTCCTAGCAGAAATCCAGAATGCCTCCAGCGCTTTCCTGGCGGAAACCTCAGTCTCGTACGCTAAAATTTTGCACTTCACCAATCATAGTCGTCTCCGCAATGCTCCTCGATGAGATGCTTGCCCAGCGGTGTTGTTAGGTTACCACGCCTCTTACCAGCAAGATGTTCCTTGATGCGCGTTGCTAGCGCCCTTCCAGTCTCCCCAATGTATGTTGCATTACATGTTTGGCATTCAAGTTGGTAGATCACGCCAACTTTGGCGCAATCTCCTATTCTACCATTAGGACATATAATGCATTGTTCTGATATACACTGTTTATCGTAGAGCCTGTTTCGCACGAGCTGGCGCCTGATGTTGTCATTGGGAATGTTCACAGACAATCATCATTCGCAGCTAGCGGCTCGCAGTCAGCATTCTTGAATTGCCATGCAGTTATATATTATCAGATTATGAACGGTAACATAAGGGACCTTGCGTTTGGTGAGCTTGCACTGGTTCACGCTGGGGCCCCCAGGTACCATCGTCAAACTCACCAAAGGCAAGGGTCCCTCTAGTGTACTACCGTTTCATATCTGATATATAACATGCTCGCCAATTCAAAGATGCCTGACTCGAGCGCAGCTGGCGAATGATGTTGTCTTGGTGAACATTCCCAATGACAACATCAGGCGCCAGCTCGTGCGAAACAGGCTCTACGATAAGCAGTGTATATCAGAACAATGCATTATATGTCCTAATGGTAGAATAGGAGATTGCGCCAAAGTTGGCGTGATCTACCAACTTGAATGCCAAACATGTAATGCAACATACATTGGGGAGACTGGAAGGGCGCTAGCAACGCGCATCAAGGAACATCTTGCTGGTAAGAGGCGTCCGGTAACTAAATACAGAACACCGCTGGGCAAGCATCTCATCGAGGAGCATTGCGGAGACGACTATGATGTGAAGTGCAAAATTTTAGCGTACGAGACTGAGGTTTCCGCCAGGAAAGCGCTGGAGGCATTCTGGATTTCTGCTAGGAATCCTAGAATGAACAACCGAAATGAGTGCTTATCCATAACAAATGATCTCATGCCATTTTCACCGCACTGCCAGCTACTGTGAGCAGTGAGACGTGCAAGTCTTGAATATGATTACTATATGTAAGGACAGCACAGTGAGTCTCACAAATACTACTAACCATTGACTGGGCGGCTTCTTCGCTCTTGCCGCGGTGGACTTGGTGAGTTAGTTATACATACGGGAGATTTTTCGGTTGTTCCTTGAAGCTTCGTCAGAAACGCTAGGAGGACGAGGCGTTTGACGGTTTAGAAAACAAATTAAAAATCTTGGGCGATGTTCAGGCCTCCGAGGACGACGATCTGGTCGAAACGTTAGGCCGTCAATAAATAGTTCCACCTAACAACCTCGCAGGCACAAAAGAATTACACACAATTAACAACGATGCCGAGGTTCTATGAAGAGAGAAATGCTTGGAGAGCCTAAAGACAGCTTGGAAATGCCATTCAGGCCTCCTCTTAGAAAGGAATGAGGCAGGAAAGAGAAGCGACGCTATTCACCGGCTCTCCCACCTGTAGCCAACGTGCTTTCGCGGTGAAAATTGATGGTGAGTCCGGTTAGCGTGCGCTCTCAGCGCCCCATCACAATCATTCTACCGCGCAGCCGTGGGATGTATTCTTCCACGAACCTTGTGTTTAAGCCCCTGAGGCTTGGCACGCACCAAACACATCGCCTCTTCCTCACTTCCTTTTCAAACAGACTGGGCTCTCGTCTGCCCCACCGTAAAGATACAACGGTGGCGCTTCCGCCGATGCGTGGGACCGTCTCTTTCCCCCCATCGGGCCCGTAGGAAAACGCCCGGGTGGCGTATAGCGGCTTCTTGCTTGCAAACGTGAGGACTCGCAGGCGGCATGGTACTCCGCCGCGGACACCCACCTGCATTACAGGCAGCTCCGCCATAACAAGCGTGCGGTGATCTTTCGCCAAAATTGCAAAGAACACACTTCGGCTATGAGCTGAAGCCACCTATGAAAGAGAAAATGCATAGTGGAAACGTTCGGAGACTGCATTCGTCAGGCCTTCCTCCTAGCCTCAAACAACTGTAGAGGTAAAAGACCGAAAAGACCGCGCGCTGGGACGATTCCCGTCGGCTGATTCCCAGTAATGAACCCTATGACTCTACAAGAGACACTGAATGCATCCACTCCATGATACTTGCCCGGGAGCATTACTTTTGGCTGGAAGGCCGACTTTGGAGGCTGGAGGCGGAGTCACTGGAAAAAGGGATGTACCACTGAAGCAACTTTGCGCCTTAATTCCTTTACCGTACAACTTTCCGCCGCGAAACTGGCACAGGGTTGTCCACTCCGGACCGCACTACCTTCCCACATAACCTCTTGCATTTTCATAGGTCATCGCGGACCGTTCCTTCGACCACAGTCAAAGGAGTCATCTGTTCGCGCCTCTTGGTGTCCTCTTATTTGACAACGTGTTCGCTGCGAGGTTCAGTATCGAAGCAAATGCTAACCTTCAGGAAAGGGAGGGGGAAGCCGCTTCGGGTGAAGAATCGGGGAACCACTGCTCTTCAGCTTAACTCGCGCGCTCTGAAAGTGTTGCAAAAAAAGCCAAGCATCGCGAGAAACTGGAACACTCTTGACAAGTGCGAATGAAGCTTCTGCTATTGTATTGCTTTACAGGAATTCACAGGTGTTCACAGAAAACTTCGACAGTGCCTGACGGGAATCAGTAAATGCCCCCACTAAGCAGAACTACACCAAAAAATGATCATTCATCTCTCTGTACTATCAGAATTGGGACCAGTGAAGCGGTTCAATTGCTGAAGGACAAGCTACGCGAGGTCGATCTCTTCGAGTGTTCAAGAGACCATTTTGTGGCCACATTGTCAGCAATTAATTTTTTCAGCGCTGTTCCCTTTGGAAGGGGCATTTTGCACATTCTCTAGTTTCTTTTCCTAGTTCGTGTTGAATTCGACCTTGGCGAAACCTGTAGATCCCTGTCAAGTTTATACGATGATCCGGCTCTTGCATAGCTTCATAGGAACTTCCAGTTCTCCACAGGAGGTATCGGCAGTGATCAATGTGAATCAGCAACATGCCCCACCGAGCCCATTTGCGCCAACTTCTCCCTGAAAATCTTCATTCCAAATTAAATCCTAAATTGGATTAGAAAATCTAAATTAAATTGTTCACCAACAGCAAAGGCGACTTATCCTGTTTTCACCCAGGGTTTTTCTTTGCATTGCTTATCTTGCCTTGGAAAAACGGGAGTGAACGTCGCTGTTATGCTGCGAGATTGTCAATCTCTTGGTCGGTCAGCGACTGACGGCCACTCTTTGATTACTGATAATCGCAGAAGTTTTCAACGAAAAACCCAACTTTGCTGAACTGGACTGATAACGCCCATTGCGAACAGAGAAACAACTATTTAGATAGCGCATTACGAAACCCAGCGAGAATTTTCGAGAAACTGACGGATCGGCGACACTCCCGCGAGAAGATTTGCGTGACGTGATACAAATCACTGCTGGGATATACCACGTACTTGTCTTTTCGGGACAGTAGAGGCATTTGGGTGCTATCTGCTCAATAAGGAACTTTCGCCGGAACTAGCCGGACTCGGAAAGCAAATCCTCTCATTGCCTGGCTTGTCTTTGTTCCCTTGTCCGGCATAAATACATAGCCACTATTCACTATATGAATAAGAAACGCAGCGGCGAACGATTAGCTGCATTGCCAAGACGTTCTGCAGG